GTTGCCGGCTGATGGTGGTTGGGCGTAGGTGACTTCACCCTCGTTGGTCCTGTTAGCTTCAAGTTCGGCTTGGACTCGTTGCTGGACGATCTCCTCCACTTTTTGCTGTAGTTCTTCCTCGCTAAGGGCGGAGAGGTCGATGCCCTCCATGATTTGTGTTGTTATGGGAGTCTACCGATTGCGCGTGACTGCACAACCCCCGGAAGCCTACGCCCGCGCGCAGATACCGTGATATCGTCGCACTAGTGTGAAAGGTAAACTACGCGGGGTGCAGCAAGCACGTTCTGGACGTTGCTTTGGGGCACTGGGTAGTCGGCCGTGTTAGGCCGAGAGAGAGAGGTTGAGAGAGAGTTGGAGAGAGAGTGGGAGAAGGAAACTTGATGGGAGAGAGACTGTGGTGGTGGAGGAGAGAGAGGGAAGAAGAAGAAGGAGAGGAAGAAGTGCGCAGCACGCACGCAAGCCTTCCTCATCATCGCACCGACCACGCCTAAAGGGTCCCCGTGACTACGCCGGTGGTACCCTTCAACACACGAAATTACCAACACGTGTCCCCCTGGGATCCTCACGACCAGATACTGCTGCGAGTATATCTAACACACCTGATCAGCAGCAGCCGAAAGGGCAACATTAACAGCAACAGCAAATGAACACCAACAATTGCCGTGCCTTTTTTTTCTCCGGTTGACTTATTTTGCATATTTGTCCGTGATCCCAGGATGATGGAGGCAGTGTCGGACGAGCATTGTCTACCCTTCATGCGCGACTTGTGTCTCCAGCTGCTCGCCAACGTCACGCGTGTGCAGGTAATGTTCAAGCGCCCCGCATGCTGTATTTCGTATTTTGTGTGCTGAGCTGCGAATCGTAGTGCGCTCATCCAAACTGGTTTTGAAGTTGGCGATAACAGCCCACCGAGTGTCGTCTGCTGGGACAATGGACAGCTGGTCCGGCGTTTGCCGAGGTTGTAGACAAGCTTTCCGGGAAACGGCGTGATGACTACTGCCTATTCCCTCCGGCAGTCTGTGTCGGGGGGGCGAAAATAGGACCCTTTTTCCTATCGTGTGTGACACGCACTTTCACGCTCCTGGTTTCTCAGCGATTTTTTACGTACTCTGGTATCATTCTGCTGCGCCTCCTCCTGTCACTGCCGGTTCTCTGGTTTCTTGCCAATTGGAGCAGAGCTTTCTTCGTTCTGAACCCGTACGATTGGACCGATATGCGTACCCGTACTTCTGTTGGAAAGCAAGCGCTACCCACAACCAGACCGAAGTCCCCCGGCGATGGCACGGCCGTGAACAGAGGTGCTGGCCGATACCCGCATGCGCCGGCCGTGAGATGCGCAAGATCGAGCAGCTCGATCCTCCTCTCTCGGACTGTCTTGCCAAAACACGCAAGCCAGGTTGTTTTTAGTGTGTATAGTTTCAAGTCTCGTACGGAGATGATCGATTCCCCGAGGTGCGGGCCGGGGGGGGGTGCACCACTGTTTTGTTTCGTCGGTGCTTCGGGTTTGAGGTTGCGTGCTAAGCGCTAGGAGTGAGCACACGACGACCTTCGCTTCGTGATCTTGCGGGTGCCGTGTGGCTCTTTTCCACCCGACAAGCCTGCTTGCTGGAAATAATGACTTCCAAACGAAAGCACATTCCGGCGCCTTACGACGCTCCTTGGTTCCGTGTCTACTTTGCTCTCTAGAACATACCTTCAACTTTTTTGCTGTAGCATACTGGAGGGTGTAACAACTTGTGGTTGCCTTTGTCGTTACCTTGAGGGAAGTAAAGTGCAATTTGTACAACATGCGATAAAATAAAAGACTATAACAGGAAGCATCGAGCGCTTGATGTTGTTCTTAATCCAGCGAATCCTGTCGTGGCGTGGTGACACTTGCAAACCAGGTCGGAGCGACGAAGTTGGCGCAAGTCGGCGTCGCGGGCGGCGCGCTCCGGGAAGGCCAGTACATCAGAAGACTGGCGCGGTCGCTTGCGAAGCATCCGGCCGATAAGGGTCTGCCCTACCCCGTGCTCGTTGGCGGCAGTCGAGATGACGTGAGAATTTCTTGCTCTTGCTTATTGCGTTCTACATGCCCTGTCGATTATTTTGGTTGCGACTTGTCAGCAGCCGTGTGTTGTTTTGAGTTGTTACGACGCGTGAGCGAAATCGTCCTTTGTACAGGATTTCTTTTGGGGGGGGTGCGGCTTGTTAACGATGTCTAGTGGGGGCTCGTTTTCTCGGACATGTGGTTTCACGATTTTTTTTTTGCATGTCGTGGTCACCAGATGATCACTTGCTTTGCTGATTGGCGGGGGGAAATTAGGGTTTAGAGTATTTTTGTAGGCACTGCTTCATGGCCAGGTCGACGGTTGCTTGGCTCTAGGTCGGCGGAGGAATTGGCGGGACGGCGTAGGGTGAGGCATGGGTTGAACGCATTGTACAGAACGGTTGTTATTTCCTTCGGTAGTGGTTGTTCCTGCGTTGGCGGAGACAGCACGACTTGCGGAAGGCGGAATGATCGAAGAATTGGCGGGTAAACGCAGAGCATTTATCGTTTTCCCGTGTCCACACTGCCTCACCCTGCCGTACGGTGCGGTCCTTCAACATTTGATCCGACTTTCGACCACCAGCGCTTTGACGGCGAGCGTATGACTGACGCCACTAGAACACCCGGTTGCGGCGATGCTATCCACATGCTGCAACAATGCCACCACCACCCACCGCTGCTGCTGCTGCTGTGTGTCGGTCCAGGCTAGGGTGGTGGACAGGAGAGCGGCCCTCCGCGATACCCAAGCAGACGACGACGACGAAGACGAGGAGGGAAGGGGGGCGACGCACAAGAGAGGACGAAAGGGCGGGGAGGTGCTCGACCAATGGCAACACTGCGCGAGCGTGCTTTGCAACGCTGCCAGGATCCCGGAGGGAAGGTGAGGCCTTTGGGTGGGATTCACACAGCACGGTTATCACAAGAATTAGGGGTGCTTCTTCCGCTCCCTTTTGTTGGTTTCCCATATATAGTATTCGGGGGTTGTATTGCTTGGAATAGAAGACTGGTGTGTTGTAGCTTATGCGCCCGAAAGCTTTCTGACCTCTACCCAATACGTGGCAATATCTGTCATGATTCCTAGGGTACCTCGGTATTTTCTATCTGGACTCCTTCAGAGTACCTCCGTTATATTACTGCCGTGGTTCCTGGGGTGGTAATCTGCCTCGATTCCTAGGGTTGAGGAACGAATCTTCGTTGACACTCGTTGATGTCCAACGCTCGTTCTAGCATGGTGGATGCGGCTGTGTAGTTGTTCAGCTGGCATGCGAGACTGACAAGCACCCTAGTCGTGTGGGGTCTAGCGACTTCTTGTGGAGAGAGAGAGAGAGAGAGAATTTGGGGCAGTTTTTGCAGCCAGCGGTAGCCCAGCAAAAAATGTGGCGTCGTGAATGGTACGTGTAGTTGTGCATCTCGCGATGCGTCGATATTTTATTTCGCCATTGCTACATTGTACTTGCGCTCGTCTTTGTAGGGCTTGCTCCTGAGCGTGTAGGGCTTGCTCCTGAGCGTGTAGGGCTTGCATCGCGCTTTTTCTCTTCCCCAGACATGCGAGATGCCCCCCCAACACCTACGTGCTCGACCAGGATACTGCAAAATTGTGGAGGAAGTTTTACAACCTCGCCATGCAATGGCGCGGTTCTGGAGTACGCCCGCTAGACGACGGCGGGCGACTCCACCTAGGGCGACGTACTCTGCTTCCGTGGTCGAAAGCGTGACACACTTCTGCGTTCTGGAAAACCAAGACACAGCGCCTCCTCCACACGTCACGATCCCCCCTGATACCGACCTACGGTCTGCTGCCTTGCTTGCAAAGTCCGCATCAGCGTACCCCTGCAAGCTTAATCCCTCCACCGTACCTCTCTGAAACGAAATGCCAAAGTGACTCGTCCTCCTCGCATAGCCTAAAATATCCATCGCTGCATTCCAGTGTACCAGCTTCGGAGATGCGCAATACCTAGCTACT